AGCCAAGATTGCACCACTGTACTCCAGCCTGGGAGACAGAGTAAAAGCAACTCTGTCTCAAAAAAAAAAAAAAAAAAGGCATTTTCTTCTGCTCACCATCTCTGTCTTATCCATCAGGGCTCCATGTCCTTAGGGAAGCTGTTGCCAGCTCTTCAGACTAGTTGTGCTGTGTGCATTTCCTTGTCACAATGGCATGGTTTATTCAATACTCATCTTCTACACTAGACTGAGTTTCAGGGGAGCAAGGACCATATTTGTCTTTTTTTTTTTGAGACGGAGTCTCTCTCTGTCGCCCAGGCTGGAGTGCGTGGCATGATCTCTGTTCACTGCAACCCTTGCCTCCCGGATTCGGGTTTGAGCGATTCTCCTGCCTCAGCCTCCCTAGTAGCTGGGACCACAGGTGTGTGCCACCACGCCTGCCTAATTATTTTTTTATTTTTGTATTTTTAGTAGAGATGGGGTTTCACCACGTTGGCCAGACTGGTCTTGAACTCCTGACCTCAGGTGATCCACTCGCCTCGGCCTCCCAAAGTGCTGGGATTACAGGCGTGAGCCACTGCGTCTGGCCATTTGTCTTCTTTATAATGCCTTTCCAATGCTTAGCCCAGTGCCTGGCCTGTTCAGGTGCTAAATAAGACAGTTTCCATGTGTGCCCTCAACCAAGGTAGTAGGATCTAGGGATCCCAAGAAGAAATGTGAAAGGAGGCCTCTGATTTCCCTTTTTGTTTTTTTTTTTGAGGGAGTTTCACTCTTGTTGCCCAGGCTGGAGTGCAATGGCGCGATCTCGGCTCACCACAACCTCTGCCTCCCAGGTTCAAGCAATTCTGCCTCAGCCTCCCAAGTAGCTGGGAATACAGGCATGCACCACCACGCCTGGCTAATTTTTTTGTATTTTTTAGTAGAGACGGGGTTTCTCCATGTTGAGGCTGGTCTCAAACTCCTGACATCAGGTGATCCACCCACCTTGGCCTCCCAAAGTGCTGGGATTACAGGCGTGAGCCACCACGCCCAGCAAGGCCTCTGATTTCTGAGAGAAGGGACTTTACTTCTATTTGTACTCATGACCTAAGAGTTCAAGAGTTTTACAAATAAATGTTCAGTTCAAAATTCTAAGTTATTGAACCAGATGGAATCATGTTATTAAGAACTCAACAGGAAAATGTAAACAAATTATCTATGTGCTCAGTAATGAATTTATGGTGAGCTCCAATACACAAAAGACATCAACAGTACCTTGAATGACTCCGGCTTCTGGAGTAGGACCGGCGTCGTCTGGAACCTGGCTTGTCTTCAACTAATCTGATTTTTCTGCCATTGACTTCAGTTCCATCCAACTTCTCCAAAGCTCTTTTCATATCAGAATAAGATACAAATTCAATCACCCCTTCATTTTTGCGTCCCTTGTGAGCATCTGCATAAGTCACTTCTCCTGCCTGACGCATATAATCCTGAAGAAAAAAAAGCGTGACTATATTATGTTTTGCTAAAATATTGAATGCAATGAGATCTGAGTGAACTTTTCTTTTCTTAAGAAATGCCAGTGTTCCGCAGAATAAAGTTTATTCTTAAATATATTCATCTACCCACCAATCATGTACTGAGGTTCTTTAAAGCACCAGCCATATTAGGTGGGTGGGAGAGACAATAAATACACATTAAATTGTTCCTTTAAATAAAGTTTTGGGGCTAAGTGTGGTGGCTCATGCCTGTAATCCCAGCACTTTGCCAGGCTGAGGCAGGAGGATTGCTTGATTCCAGGAATTTGAGACCAGCCTTGGCAACACGGAAGACCCCATCTCTATAAAAATTTAAAAAATTAGTCAGGTGGGGTGGCACATGCCTGTAGTCCCAGCTACCCAGTAGGCTGAGGTGGAAGGATCATCTGAACCCAGGCAGGCTGAGGCTGCAGTGAGCCGTGATCGTGACACTGCACTATAGCCTGGGGTAAAGAGCAAGATACTGCCTCAAAACAAAAAAATAAGGACAGGCGCAGTGGCTCACACCTGTAATCCCAGCACTTTGGGAGGCCAAGGTGGGCAGATCCCTGAGGTCAGGAGTTCAAGACCAGCCTGACAACTTGGTGAAACCCTGTCTCTACTAAAAACACAAAAATCAACCAGGCGTGGTGGCAGGCGCTTGTAATCCCAGCTACTTGGGAGGCTGAGGCAGGAGAATCGCTTGAACCCAGGAGGTGAAAGTTGCAGTGAGCGAGATCATGCTACTGCACTCTAGCCCAGGCGACAGAGCAAGACTTCATCTCAAAAAAAAAATAAATAAAAAATAAAATTTATTTTTTAAACTACTAATATCCCCTAATTTGTTTTCTTTTTGTATTTCCTTGATAAATAGCTAACATACATTGTGCCAGAAACTATTCTAGGCTTTTTATATATACAATTCACTAAATTATCTCAATAACCTTGAGTAGAAATTAATACTAACTCCATTTTCTAGTTGAGGAATATGAGGCATAAGACGTAAAGTAACTTGCTAAGGGTCAAGTGGCAGAGCCAGGATTCTATCTAGGCTCGCCAGCTTGAGAGCTAGGAAATCTGCTCAATTATCTGTTACTGTCGTTTCCTGAGAATGGAACTCCCTGAAGGTACAGACGTGTAGAGCCAACCAAGGGTGGTAACTGTGGGGGACCAGCCTCAATACCACTCACAGGACATCCAAAGTCTGGTGGTGATGAAGGAATGAGAAGAGAGAGGTTAAGACTGCCTAAAGAGTGGGGGCCAGGTGGTTAACTGCAAAATGAAGGCTGCAAAAGGCTCAGAGTTCTGGTCTCCACACTATTGAGTACAATCATTTAGATCTAAGAAGCCGACGTTTAGGGCAAAATGGTGAAAAGGGAGGCAGTGTGTCATATGCGTAATCTATAGCAGTGGTGGTTTAAATGAATCTCCTTTGTGCTGAAACAGCGTATCTTTAACTTATCACAGTAGCTGGTGGGAGCGGGCTTAACTAGGAGGCTGCATGTCTGGCCACAGTCCAATGCTTCGAAGGAGTGTCTTTCTCCTTGAACACAGTGTTTATGGATAAGAAAGCAAGTCTTGCTCAGAGCACGGAAACATAATGGCGATAAGGCTTTCCTCCTCCCACAAGAGGCCTCTTGTGGCTGTGCACAACTTATTGTCCCATATTTTTATGGCCAGTTTATACAGGCACCCCATAAGCCTTTCCCCCAACAGTAACTAGGCTCTGTTTTAACAAAAAAATTAAGAGGTTTTCTACGAACTTAATTTAATATTACATTTAGTGACACCACATGACGAGTTAGCATTCCACTGATGAAGAGAGTAGCTTTCCAGTTTCTATCCATGATGTTCAATCCCTAACTCTCAGAATACTGGAGTCATTCCTTCAGCAAGCAGAATTGTGCTGGCAGACATTCAGTAAAGGTCTACTACGGTGCTGACAATAAGCACGATGCACCTGAAAAAACTGGGAGTTAAGAGTCCTGGTCCCAGCTCTTCTGCATCTGTTACTTGAAGGTTGCTGGGATTAAATTTTAAAAAGGGGGGGGAAAAATAGAAGTGCTTTAAATTAAAACTGTACAAATGTAAAGGATTCCTAACTATTCTTTCCTGAACCTAAATACACTCACTCATTTTGCTAGAGATGACATGTTTAAACATGGCCAAAAAAAGCAAGAAGGGAGACAAAACAACACCCGTTTCATGCATCCTCCTAAGACCATTCAGATTATGATACTGCTCAGTAAGTTTTTCTTCCTTATTGAGATTAAAAACACTGTTGTCAATAAATGGGACCGGGTGTGGTAGCTCACGCCTGTAATCCCAGCACTTTGGGAGGCCAAGGCAGGTGGATCACTTGTGGTCAGGAGCTCAAGACCAGTCTGGCCAACAGGGCGAAACCTGGTCTCTACTAAAATACAAAAATTAGCTGGGCATGGTGTCATGTGTCTGTAATCCCAGTTACTCTGGAGGCTGAGGTAGGAGAACTACTTGAACCCCAGGCGGAGGTTGCAGTGAGCTGAGATGGCGCCACTGCACTTCAGCCTAGGTGAAAGGGTGAGACTCTGTCTAAAAAATAATAAAAAGCTGGAATGACTACACTGGATGGCCAACATTAGCAATGAATCTTAATTTTTGACACCAAAACTCTTTCAGGACAAATATTCCATCAAAAACCTTATGAAAGAACATGGGTCAGACTGTCAATTTCACCAGTAAGGATATACATTGAAGCTGATGTGAATTTGCATGTTACAGCAAATGCTGCAGGAAACACTGGTGGTTTCAACCATTTTACTGACTGGTGAGTAGCTATACTGGCATCTTCCTGTAACTTTTTTTTTTTTTGAGACAGAGTCCTGCTCTATTGCCCAGGCTGCAGTGCAGTGGCACGATCTTGGCTCACTACAACCTCTACCTCCCAGGTTGAAGCAATTCTCCTGCCTCAGCCTCCCAAGTAGCTGGGACTACAGGTGCCCAGCCCACCACCACGCCTGGCTAATTTTTGTATCTTTTTAAGTAGAGACGGGGTTTCAAACATTCTTTACAGAGGGAAATTTCATATAACACATTTGGGCCAAGTTTCTGTCATGTCAGCTGTTGCAGAGGCTGAGGCTGGAGGATTACTTGAGGTCAGGAGTTGGAGACCAGTCTAGGTAACACAGTGACAACCAATCTCTGAGCCAAGATCGTGCCTCTGCACTCCAGCCTGGGCAACAGAGTGAGACTCTGTCTCACAACAAAATCAGGCCAGGTGCAGTGGCTCACATCTGTAATCCCAGCACTTTGGGGGCCTGAGGCGGGTGGATCACAAGGTCAGGAGTTCAAGACGAGCCTGGCCAAGATGGTGAAACCTCGTCTCTACTAAAAATACAAAAAAATCAGCCGGACGTGGTGGCGGGTGCCAGTAATCCCAGCTACTCAGGAAGCTGAGATGGAGAACTGCTTGAACCCGGGAGACGGAGGTTGCAGTGAGCCGAGAAGGCGCCACTGCACTCTAGCCTGGGCAACACAGTGAGACTCCGTCTCGAACAAAACAAACAAAAAACAAAACAAAACCAAACAAACTCACAGATGTCTCCTTAGAATGATGGTCCCACAATGTTCAGTAGAAGTATAATTCTGATATATTTTGTACTCATATGGAATCTTTAATTACTTCCAGCTCTGTGCAGGCTTTCACACATGTAACATTATATTTTCGGTATGCCTAGGCCTGCACAAATTTACCTGTTTCCCAACTTTAACTCCTGCCCAACCTTACCCCAAAAGGTTAATGGGGCCCAAACCTTTAGGTCTTGCCAGCTGCACCGACTTGACAAATTCTCCACAATAAGTCTGTATTCTGTGCGAGTAGGAGGGCCATATTTATCTCGGCCACTTCTTCTATAACCATATCCACCTTTGGAAGGTTCAAATAAATAACATTATTTCAGTGGAGGAAAAGGAAAAAAAATGACACAGCACACACCCCCACTTAAATATATTATTTACCCCCACCCCAAACAATAGCATGTTTTAACTCTATTCCCATCCTTAATTCTAAAATAGATTTTTAAAGAAGCAATCAGCTAAATATAAACATTTAATTTAATTTAAAAAGTTGTAAGTATACATATTCATTAATATTTATATTTAAGATTAACATGCATAAATTAAAAACGATTAACAATTTAACAATTTAGAAATAAGTAACCAAATTACTAATCAGTTACTGGTGTTACTCACAGTGATTAAAAATTTTGTGAATATTTTATATGAAAAAAAAAAAAAGATTTTCAGGCACCTATTTCAGTTTAATCTCATCTGTGTCTAACCCTTGGGATCCTCACCACCCAGGTCTAATGGGGAAAGGTTGCGGTCGTCACATGGCTTCCTGTTTTTGGTCAGCCAAGGGCCACAATGGTTCAAAGAGCCACGCATGGAAAGGTAACCCAAGGTCAGCAAATGGAACAGGCAGTCATCTTAGCCTCAAAGGATTCTTTTAATTAAAACATTGAGGTCTTTGTTAAATCTATGTTAAACAATTGCATTACAGAGAAAAAAAAAACAACACAAACACACATCATTAAACATATTTATAAAGTATTACAAACAAGAAATTATCATTAATTTAATTAAAATTAAACATTATCAAAGGCTTATTTGTAATTCTACATTTTTTTAAAAAGACACATAATTTATAAAATAGCTTAAACATCAATACATTTAAATGCAATATCAATTAATTACTTTAAATAATTAGCATTTGATAATAAAAGCACGTTACTGATACAAGTATGCCCTTTGAATGCTTACTGCGTCCAGAACCGTAACTGCCATCTCGCCGTGGGCCGCGGGCATGCTCAACAATTACTCGCTCACCACAAAGGTCTTTGCCATTCAGTTCATAAACAGCATCATCTGCATCACGCAGATCATCAAACTCCACAAAACCGTATCTAGAAGAGAGCAAAGAAAATACTGGTTGGTACCATTTTGACATCCAGCTTCACTAACATTAAAGAGAAAGCAATGAGGGTCATGCTTAGCAAAGGTTAGGTGGATTTTGCAAACTAAGGATCAGCTTTGTCTTCTCTTTAGGTGAAATCACTTTGCTTTGTGCCAACAGGCACTGCAAAAGGTAGGGAGACTTCTCAAAGTAGACTCCTATCTTTCTAGGAGGAGGCTGGCTACATACGCAGGACACTTCTTATGTTTCCCAAGTAGTTGGTGGCAACTGCAAAGACAGGGATGCTTGGTATAAGAATCCAAAATATATAATGCTACAAGATATATAATGCTCTTTCAAACACCACATACAACTCATCTTTTTTAGCTTTAAAAGTGGTATCTTAGAGAACAATTAGATCTACATTCAGGCACTGTGTAATAACTCTTAAATCATGTGAAAGAAAAAAACTTTTTTTTAAGGTTCCTGTTAGTCTACGTAAAACACATCTGTCACATGTGATTATCAGTGAAAAAAAGACTGGAGCTATTTACTTCCCTGTGAGATTCCAAATTCATTTCCATGAAGTTTTAGAATAGGCTGGAATCCTATGAAATCTGTATACACCTCATGCAAACGTCTTTAAATGGTATTGCTGTATCTTTTCCAGCCAAGAGGTTTGGTGGCTTAACATATATCCAAAAGAACGCCCCATCCTATTAATGCCTATTAAAGAGTACAATTTATATAACTAAAGTGCAAAATTTGTAAGATACTTATAAGCAAGATTATACAAATGCCCTGTAAATTATGTTTTCAAGAAATATTTAGTTTGGTCTGACACAGCTGTGAAAAGTCCAGCTTTGTGACCACTGCCTATATTTAAAAACCAAAACCATCTTATTGATCATAACTAATCAGAAAGGAAAGTTACAAACAATTTATTTAAACTCTAATAAGGCTGTATGTACACGGGCACACACTGACTAATGTTCCTCTGCATTTAAACACACTGACACTACAAACAAGTTATAGGACTTGTCAGAGGATCACCCAGCCTGCTAACAAAAAATGATTCCACTTTACTTATTTATTTATTTAATTTTTTGACACGGAGTCTCACTGTTGCCCAGGCTGGAGCGCAGTGGCGCGATCTCGGCTCACTGCAACCTCCACCTCCTGGGTACAAGCGATTCTCCTGCCTCAGCCTCCCACTAGCTGGGATTACAGGCGCACGCCACCACGCCTGGCTAATTTTTGTATTTTTAGTACAGACAGGGTTTTGTCATGTTGGCCAAGCTGTTCTCGAAACCTCAGGTGATTCGCCCACCTGGGCCTCCCAAAGTGCTAGGATTACAGGCGTGAGCCACTGCGCCCAGCCTCCAGTTTCTTTAGAATGTAATGTTGTACTCGGTAACATGTTAAATAAGTGAGAACTCAGAATTGCAAAATTTTTCCTTTACTACAGAGTTTCTTTCATACAAGTCTCTCCAGGTGACAATATGCTAGGTTACAACGTGTAGGTAACAACGTTGGAGGGTTCTTTATGTTGAAATGTCTGCCTGGCACTGAATGTCAACTCCATTAAAAAAATATAATAGAGACACACCCAGTTATTTAACAGGAAGTGTCTTGCAGTAACACAATTCAGAAGCCACCTGGCTCAATTTATGGGCTGTGAAGTCTTTAAAACATAGTTTCACGCTTCCATAGGCTAGAATTGCTGAGCAGCTTAATAAGAAGGATTTTGAATATGCTGTTATCTTAGACAAGGCAAGTAATGCCTCTCCAAATCACTGACTTACTATGTCCAAAAGTGCTTTAACGGTGACTAAAAATCTGTAATAGATAATATAATGTAGCTGCTTTTTCCTTTCTTAGATAGAATGGATCATTAGGAAAACTATATTATTTTCAGACAAAATTTTTCTTTTAAGGCAAATAAAAAAACTCAACTATTTTCTACTTTGGTTTATCTCTAGATGGATTCAAAACAGTAACAATAACAAAAGTGCCCTCCTGAATTTAATTGTCAAGAGTGCTCTGTCCCAAGTCTGCTCTGTCCACAGCATCACTGCTTTTGGCAGCATGTGAGAGCCTGACGCCATGCAGAGGGAGGAGGGACATTCGGCCTGGGCATGAAGGAATGGCCTCCATTCCCTTCGAGTCACACTCTGGCTCGGCACTGTTCAATGACCAGGACTGATCTAATGTCATCTTAGGACACCACAGAATCCTGAGGATTAAACAAACCACAGGAAAATCACCAACTGTTTTCCTCAAAATAGTTAAGGGTTACAACTACTGGGCAGAGCGGGTGGTCACAGAATGCAACATCCTTAAGCTCTGCAGGTCAACTGAAACAGAAAGCACAGTGGCCACTGATGGCAAGTGATGCTTCTGTCAGACCTGTGGGGTCATACATTCTCCCAGACTCAAAGATCACCCTGTTCTAAGGCTCACATGCAGAACTTACCCTGACCTTTCAGAGAAAGCAGTGACAATCTGTTCAGTGGAGGCAGGATAATTTAAAAATAAAAATTAATGTTAAGACAGATGAATCTTTCTTTGCAAGCTGAGAATGAAGCAAGGCATATCTTGCCAATACAACTTCCTCGAGTTACAGGGACAATTGGTAATGTTACAGAAAAATTCCTACAAGCCTTCCCCAGTATTTACTTCTAAAAAGTTCCAACAAGTGGGTCACTTGGTAAGCCTGTTTTAGGGGTATCCAAAACATTTATTAAATTAGCTGACTTGAGATTAAATTTATTTTACAGAAAAATTTTGGCTACTATTCTGTGAAAAAAATCTATTTGAAACATATCAAAGTTCAGTTCAAGGATCAAATCAGGCACTTGACTGTCACTTCTCTCTGCTGAGTGGGTTTGGAAGATTAAAACAAACATCTTTCCATACAACAAACCATACCTAATAGGGACTCTTGTTCTGAGAATAAAGCAAAGAGCAGATTTCTACTAAATCTGCTTTACTTGAAGAATGACTTAATTTCATTCAATAAATAGAGTGAATAAGATAGAAATAAATTAAGACAGGAAGACTAGATAATAAAATGTTACCTAACTCTGACTAAACAATCTCTCTATATTAAGCAATGGTATCATAGCTAATATTCATAGCACCCCTTCAGCTAGGTACTATTATTTCTGTTTTACACATGAAAAAAACCGAGGCACAGAGTATTAAATAACTTGCATTAAAAAAACTCCGCCGAGCTGGCATTCAAACCTGTGGTTTGACACCAGGGCTGAAACTCCCTAACTATTAAGACTGAAGCAGCAAGAACTGGCCTGGGTTCTAGTCTTGGTTCTGCAATAAACTTTGAACAGCAAATTTAAAACATTTTATTTCTTTGGGGTCTTAGTTTATTCATGAAATGAGGGAGTTACTGCATATCTCCAAGGCTGTAACTAACATCAAAAGCATGACAGATTAAGTGTTAAAATTAGTGCTCCTTTGGTTTAACAATGGAGATGGGGTTTCAATATGTTATCCAGGCTGGACTTGAACTCCTGGGATCAAGGGATCCTGCGGCTTCAGCCTCCCAAGTAGCTGGGATTACAGGCACATGCCACTGTGCTGGGCTTCAAAAATGGAAAATTTAAACTCTAAAATCTGACATGCCTGGACTAGGATGGTACCACCAGACACCAACAGGTGGAAAGGGATAAATTTTTATTGTCTAAAATACCTTTTATTTATAGGTCCCAATTTTAGCTTAAACACTTCAATTGTTCCTGAATTAGTGCCTTTGACAAAGTAAAGCTCTTCCTGGTAACTAACACTAGAGCCTTTTAAAGCCAAGCTTAACACTCCCTTTGTGCTTTGCAGCAAGTAATGTGAAACAAATCTGTCTCAAAAAGCAATCTCCTTTTGAATCCTTTGTCAGAGTAAAAAGGAATATAAAATACATACATGCATGTATACACACTATTATATGTATGCATGTGTGTACATATATGTACATACATCTTTGGTGTGACTTGTGAGTAAGCCTCACAAAACAACCCAAGAGATAAATTTCTCTAATTCTAACAGCAGAAATCCTTCCTCTTCTGCTCTATTAAAAACAAAGAACATCTTTCAATAATTCATAGGATGCAGGAATTCAGAAGAATCTAAGACAAATGTAAAAACCCCTCCACAGCAGGGATTGACAGAAACACAAAGAGCCCTGCAATACACTTTCAATCTTCCTCCCCTATGCATATGAAAGAATAAAAAGCATGAGGTCACTATTCAATATACAACACCCTTCAAGTAAGAGAAGAAACTCCTTTCTTTAATGTTTCTCTGCAATAGGTTGAGTATTCTGAATCCGAAAATCCAAAATCTGAAATGCTCTAAAATCCGAAACTTTCTGAGCAGCAAGATGCTCAGATTGGCTCACCAGAACATTTTGGATTTTCGGTTTAGGAATGCTCAACCATTAAGTACAATACAAACATTCCCAAATCCAAAAAAAAATCTGAAATCCAAAATTCATCTGATCCCAAGCACTGTGTTGTCTTTACCAAAACTATTTTCCTCTGGTCACATTCTATCCTGACAAACCTAGTCAAAAGAATGAGGGGAAGTTACTGTCATTTTCCCTCTAAAAAAGGCAGGCAGCATAATTTTTACCAAGTATGGACAGGTATCTGGATACCACAAACAAAAGCCACACTGAATTATATGGGCTGCTCTAAACTTTAGTCCATTCTTATCCCATTGCCAATGCACTCATCTTCCTCATTCAACAGCTGATGTACTGCTCAGGTTATCAATCAGAATTCTGAAAAGGCAGAACTGGAATGACACATTTTTAAAACTAAGGTACTCTAAGACTTCAACTTTAGAAATGTTAACCACACTTCTTCAGGCAAGAATTATTATCTGAGTTTGTATCCTTGCTAACATGCTTTCTCTGATCCTATACCAATGGTCCCAAACACCATCAAGTCTGCCCTTTGCTCTGTCATGTTCTACTGAAGAGGATTTATCTCAACC